CTAAGTGTCTCTCCCTCTGTAGAAGGCAGCCACCACCCTGGAAGCCTCCATTTGACAAGTGGCGCTAAGGCCTTTACCCATGCTCTTCCAACAGTAGGACCCAGACACTGGTAGGAGTTTCAGAAAACAGGCTACCCCAGCACCGACTGCCTCTAATAGCCTCTGTCTGACATGGGTGGAGTTGACACTTGCTGGTCTGGGCTCAAGTGGAAATGAAGGGCAAGCTCAGCTGCATAGCCAGAATGGGGAGCCTAGCCCTATCCCAGCCTTGCTGCCTGGTGCTAGAATCTTCAGGTGTCAGAAGCTGCAGATGCATTTGCCCAAATGGCAGAGGGGGAAGGCTCCTGAAGCATAAGAGACACATAGTGGGCGCTTTTCCTCAAGAGTCTTCAGGGTGCAGCTCAAAGGGCTAAAAACAAAGACCACAATCCAAGCAGGCTTTCCAGGAGAAGCACACATAACCCTCCACCCATACCTCCATTACTCCTCATATGCAGAGAGCTATGGAACTCCAAGTGGCACACTCCCCATGCTCTGAGGCTGGGATGCCTGGAAATGCCCTGAGCAGGCAGGCAATGGAGTCTGGCACAAGTGTTGAGGCCCACAGGCTCTTGTCTCTCTCCCACCAAACCTTTCCTGGCCAGGCATCCCCTCTGCTCCAAGCCTTCTCCAGTCACCCTCCCTGGCACCCTCCTATGGGAATACAAAGGCTCAGATGCCTTGGGATTAGCCTAGGGTAACACCCAGTGCCTTCATACTCCTAGAGGCCCCAGCATTTCATTTGGCTGCTTTGACAAACAACAAATGTTCTCCACACAGCTACCTTCCCTCAGCAATCTAGGAAGATCAGACACACAAGGACCCATGTCAAGCCTGACTCCAAGATCTGCACATTTTTATGAGCTTCAGCCCCCACCCCATGGAAGCCATTGGCCTGTGGCCACAGGAAGGTGTCAGCCTTGGTCAGTTGCTGTCTCAGCCCAATGCCAGCCCCTTTCCTCACCAGTCAGACGGCTTCAGAGGCAGGATGTCCCTGGCCAGAGTCAGCATCCGTTGGTCTGTCTGTGAAGCCTCCAATCAGAGATGAGCCCCTGGGGACTCATTAGCACCTGAAGCCAGCAGAGACCACCTGGCACTCCTGTCCCTAGGCCAGTAGGTTCTTTGAACTCCCACGAAACTGGCAGCCTCCCAGTCAGAGAGCCGCCCCACCTTGCCCAATGCCAGCACGGGAGGCTGGCTGTAACCCGGAGGTGCTCATGTCCACAGCTGAGGCAAGCTGAAGGCCCTGGCCCAGGGTGGCACCTGCCCGCCAGAGAAGCTGTCCTGCCTGCTGGCTGAATGGCTGGCCCTCTCACTGTGGGCCCTGCACACTCCAGGCTGTCAGCAGATGAGGGCTGGCTGCTGGGCTGCCCAGCTGTAGAAGCTGCTTGTCTGCCCAGACCCAGAAGCCAGCCCCTCCCACACTCCCTGAGGAGCCCTCTCTTACATAGAGCATGCATCACTCAGGGCTTTGCGTCTGGGGACTCAAAGCCACCAGCTCACTACCCTCACGCACCTGCCTTCCAGCCTTAGTAACAGTCTTGGCCAGCCTACCTAGCCAGACGGCAAGCCAGTGAGAAACCTGAGAGAGAAGAGGTACCTGTTGTGGGGCAGGGCTGAGGGAAAGTACATTTCTTCCCCTCCAGGGCTCCCTGAACTTGGCCTACAAGAGGGGCTGGCTCTGGGGAAAGGAAAGTAGGCAAGAGCCCTTGGATGGTGAGTCATTTGCTCCTTTTGAAGAAGCCAGGATCTTAGACTGCTCCCAGGTACAACACAGCCCCCATCTTCTCCCCCACCCACATGCCCACCTTATTCTGCCTGCCTCCCCCAGCTGCTGGGAAGCCAACCTGAGACAGAAAAGCTGGAATATTGAGTTTCGGCTTCTGCTGGGGCCTGCCCAGCAGGATAGCACAACCACAGGCTTACGGTTTTTCACACCTGCACACACGGCTTGGGGGACTGTACCCTCTCTCAGAGGACTGTGTGAGGCAGCTTATGTGAGACCCTGTGCACAAAGCGCAGGGCACATACAGGTGCACATATCTGCATGTGGCAGCAAGAGTTTACAAGGATGCACACCAAGCCAAACACAGGAGTTAGTTCTGGGGTGGCTTGACATTGGGGGGCAAGGAGCTTTGTTAGGTACACCTGTAATGTCTGCATTTTTCAAGAGGGCATTGTCAAATAGGATTTGTGTAATCCAATATTACTTAAATGCAACATGCTGGCACAGAGTACATACACCAGAGGAAGTAGTGGTCAGAATTGACTGATTTTTATGCAGAAGGCTTTTCCGCAGAGGGCATGCCCTAAAGGCCAGATTTGCATGACCAAGGCAAAGCCAGCCCTCCCTTTGGGAGGTAATCAGGCCAGAATTGCTCTCTGAGGACCCTGGTTGGAGGCATTCTGGCCATCCATTTGTTTCTCCTGGGTGCCATGGATGTGGAAGGCAATGGAAGCTAGCCCCTACCTTCAAACAGCTCCTGATCCAATGGGGGGACTGGCTATATACTCCTCTAACACCAAGCCTGGGCAACCCATGGGAATTTTCACAGAGGAGCAATAAACAACGTGCTGCAGAAAAAAAACCCTCCCATACCCACAATTATAAATGAGTCCCCGCCTCCCCCTCTACATGTCATGGGAAAGTTCGAGGCTTGTTGGGAAGGGTTGGATAACTTGGGCAAGGCCAAGGCAGCTTGGAAGAAAAATAGCATCAAGGAGGCAGACAGTCCAGACAGATCATATCCAGAGAGTCAGCCCTCACAATAAGGTCCTTCACAGAACCCTGCAGAGGGGTCTACTGCCTATATCCCAGGCTGTAGTGGAGGCCAGCAGGCAGTAGCTCTGGGTACGGTTTCCCTCCGGAAGACCCTGGAGATGGAGCAGACAGGCAGGACTAGGAACAGACAGTCGCACGTCATGCTGGGTAGAGGAATAACCAGGGCTCAGGCAAGGGCTCCACCTTAGCTCCCCCCAGCCCAGGAGGCCTTTCTCCAAGGGGCCAGCACACTGTTTGCATTTCAGCTAAATTGCTCCCAAGGGTGAGTCTTTGTTTCACAACATATTTTCAGCCAGACTTTTTCTGCAAACATGTTCATGTCTGTTCACAAAAACACATGCCCATGTCCCAAAGGCAGGCACTGCCCCGCCCCGCAATAGCCTTCTCTTCCTCTTAGCTTTCCTGCATGGCCCGGCTGAAACAGAAGAATGGGGCAGCTTGAGGAGGAGCACTGGAGGGCAGGCCTCCTGGCACCCTTAGCTCCACTCAACTCCACTCTGCTTGGCTTACCTTCCATGTCATCAAAAACGGGGGGGGGGGTTGGACTGGTGGCAAGAAGCTATGCATGCTGCCCCTCACTGAACCTGAACAGTGTACTGCTCCTTTTAATTAGTCCCCAGACCTTGGGTCTGTCCTGAGGCTGTGGGGAGTGGAGGCATGACCTGCTAGGAGGAACCCCGTCTTCCTCCTAGCTCGCTGGTGACTCCAGGTATTCCAGGACCCATTAGTAGGTGGCAGGGAGGCTCCAGGTTCTACTCAGGCCTCCTGGTTCTTAGAAGTATGGTAATTCCCAGATAGTCAGGAGTGGAGAAATTCCCTTATTTTATGGGGGCCAAGGAGAACCAGAGAGGGGTGTGTCAGGGGCAGAGTAGGCTTGAAGACTCAAGTATCTCCCTCTCCCTTCACCCCACTTCCCTCACTCTTCTTCCCACTCCTCCCTCTCCTCTCTTCTCTCTCCTCTCTATTCTCTCTCTCTCTCTCTCTCTCTCTCTCTCTCTCTCTCTCTCTCCCTCTCCCCCCTCTCTTTCTCACACCCCCCCCCACACACATGCATTCAGTCATGTTTATTTTACATCTCATGTCTAACACACTCTCTCTTCCTTATAGTGGAGAACTCATGATAAGTTTGGGGGTTGGGGATGGTCTGGTTAGTCACTAAAGCCAATGAGAATGTTCTGGGTCCCTGTCCCCCAAGAGACATGCATTTATCTCTTTGTCCCCAGCACAGCAGTCCCCCAGGGAAAGGAATAGCAGTTCTTCCAAAGGCCTGCAACCCAGCACACGTGCCCTGTGGTTGGGCCCCAAGCAGTGACACTCTTGTCTGCTCAGGCTTAGTCCCACTGCCCTACCCAACAATCCACCCTGTCTGAGATGAGCTTCACAGGGTTGTGGACATGGATGAATAAAATTCAAAGCCCCTCCCTGTGGCCTCCCTCCCGAGAGGAGTTGGGGCCTCATCCCAGCAAGTCTGTAGGAGGGACTCAGGAGAACAGGTTTCACACCCAGCCCTGTCCTGGTCTTGCTGGACAATCCCGGGGCCATGTTCCCCCTCTCTAAGACTCAGTTTCCTCCTGGGGAAGTGAAAAGTTTTCTGGTCACTTCCGGGAGATTTCCTCTGATTGAGTCTCTGTAACACCTGGCCCGGACAAGCTGCTGCACAAGCACTTCCCACAGGCACTTGCTGGCCTGAGCCCAACAGGAAGGACCTACAAGCTGTGCCCCTAAGGAGGCCCCTGCAAGGCTGGGAACAGTGGCAGTGGGGGAAGGAGGGAGAAGCAGAGCCTCACATGAGTCCTGGATTCAAGAAACTCAGCCACTAGAGTTTGCCATCACTGAACTTTTATTGAGCATTTTCTCTGTGCAGAACCCTGTGCACAACGTGGAAGGAAACAGGAGAACATAGCCAAGCCCCTGCCACATAGGATGGAACAAAAGGGACAAGATGGTCACTGTGGAGTCCTGATGGACAGGCAGGAAGCACCTGCCACTGGTGTTACTGTGAGGATCATATGCTCCCCTCTTGACCCTCCAAAGGGCTGCATCTCAGCCCTTTTGGGTCTTCCTGCACCTCCCAGCAGCTAAAGGGAAACAGAAGGAGGAAGGGCAAGGGTGGCCCAGGGAAAGAAAGGAATAAAGGGAAGGAGGAGGAAGCTCTGTTGGTAGGATGGCTGGTGAAGCATCACTGGCGAATCCACAGCCACAGGTTGACTATGCAGACCGACAGCAGCATGGTAAAGAGCATAACTTCCCTCTGGGTTCTGGCAATTTCCTGGTCCTCCAGGGTTCTCAGACGCTCATTGTTCACACGCTGCTGCAGAGAGACCAACAGCAGGCTGGTAAGCAAAGCTGTTCTAGGGAAGCCCATGCCCCACCAATTGGAAAAAAGTATGAAGTTCGAACAGGAAGGGACTTTGCTGCCTTTTGGAGGGGGGGCTACCTCTGGTAAGAAGCGGCTGATACCAGGGGCCTGGAGTGGGATAGGCTGCCTAAGTTTGCAGGTCCTGCCGCTTTGCACCCTCCTCTGAATGCATCAGTTGTCTTGATGAAGCCAGTCCTTCCCAGCTGTGCAGGGTGAGCAGGGAAGGGCATTTTAATCCTGAGGAGGGCTGGTGTGGACAAAGCAGCAGCACTGGAGTGAGGGCTCCAAGATGGGGTAACACTCAGGAGCCAGAGAGGGCCACTAGGCTGGTAACCCTCCACACCCACATCCGTGTCCATGGCTTCTGCAGTCTCTGCCCACCCAAGACCCCTATCTCAGACCTCTTAGCCATTCTCTCTGAATAGATGCCACCATCTTCTTACGTTCCCTCTTTGTCATCTTTTTCTCTTCGTGTTAAAGCTGACTTAAGGCTGACAGCAAGATGGGACTTGGGTGCCATGGGCATTGAGAGTAGGGGAGGAGAGCCTGGCCTCAATTTGGCTGCTAGAGGGTGAGATGACTGGAATGGCTATGCAACCTCAAGGGGGATGATTTATTGCTGTTGAGGCCCACCTACCCCCAAAGCACCAAGATTCTGCCTCCCCCCACCAAGTGAGTCCCCAGCACAGCAGACAGTCACCTGTTTTCTTATGGCTTCTATCTCCAGTTCATGTGTCTCTTCCAAGCCAATCTCTGCAATTGTATCTGCCTCTGAGTTGCTGGGAAATAAGAAAAGACAGCGACTCAGAGGTTGTCCCAGGCCAGGCCTGGCAGGAAGCACAGGAAAGCCATGAGGGCAAGTGAATAAGATCAGGGGCTTCTCTGGACAGTGACTCTGTCAGCCTCTAGTCCTCCCCTTCCTTGGTAAGCGTGTCCTAAGGCCTGAGGGCTGGGACCCAGCCCAGCCCAGCTGAAGAGCACTCAGAGGACTCAAATAGGCAAGGGGCCAGGAGGCTCATGGGCTGTGGTGAGGAAGCAACACGTCTCCAATAATCATGGTCAGCTGCTCCCAAGCCCTTCCTGGCCAGTCTGCTGGCCAGACTCTCTGGCCCACCCCAGTCCCTGCCCAGGAAGCTCCTCCTTTCCTCTTGTAGGGTCTCTGGGATCCATCTTACCGCTCATAATGGAATCTTTTGCCATGGAAGTTGCCAGGACACTCCTGGGGATGACCATCCTCATGGCCTTGTTCTCTTACCATTCTGCGTACCGGCAGATAAGAACCCTAAGTAAAGAAATGGTCAGTCAAAGGAACCTTCATAGCCCCAGCTGAGAAATGTGGCTGCCCCACACTTTGCCCAGGTACACCCGCCCCCAGGAGTCACATGGTGTCTGATCCTCCAGAATCAGGGGCTTGAAGCTTCAGACCATTAGGGGAGCCTTGGAGGCTCACAAGTTGGCTGCCTGCCACCACTCTACCCACACCATGATCCCCAGTAGCTCCTGGTCATCTAGGCTTCAGTGAAGGAAAAGCAGTGATAGGGGTCTCTCTGCCAGCACTGTCACGTGCAGACAGCTGAGTCTCAGGAACCACTGAAGGAGAACAGAAAACCTCGATTTTAGAGCCAAGGAAATTGATTCCTGGAGAGGTGACTGCACTTCCCCAAGGACGCATGGTATCAGAACTCAGGATAAAAGTCTGGCTACTGGGAAACCATAGCCTCTTTCTCTTTCTCTGGGTGAGCTCAGCCATCCCCATGTCTTTCATTTCTATCCATTTTGTAATAACTGGAGTGGATGTCTCTGGCCCAGAACTCTGGGGCCAGAGGTATCTCATGCCTTGAAGAGCTAGTGTGAGCTAGAGGAGCAGAATGTGACAGACCCACCTGGGTTCCAACCTCAGCTCTGGGTTTCCCATGCAAGATGAAATATCTCACAATATGTTTGTTCAACACACACCACATGCTAAGGACCATGTCATCCTCTAAGCCCCTACCGATATCAAGCCATTAAATCTTCATCATGACTCTTCAAAACAGGTATTACTATCATCCCATTTTGAACGTTGGGAAAACAGAGACACAGAGAGGTCAAATAACTTGCCCAGCTCACATAACTGATAGGTAGCAGAGCAGTAATTTGAACCCAAGACATTTTGTTCCAGAGGTTGTTCTCTTAACCATTACACTGTGATACCTCTCATACTTGGCATTGCTCCCCCTTAAGACTCCATTAAAGTGACAATGAAGACAGTAAAATGGTATAAGTCCATAGGAAAGAAGATAATGGAAGAGCCAACAGAGAATGAAAGAGTTCAACAATATTGTAGAATCCAGAAAGTATCAATAAGGAATGAAGCAAGCCTCAGTGTGGCTCAGAAGCAAATGAGGAGCAACTGAGGGGTGTCCCCACCTGGCAGTGCTCAGAAAGGCCCTGGACTTGGAGGCTGCAGGGACACTGGGGTGGTCTTGAGGACCAAGGTGGAAAACAGGGGCATTGACTGCAGGTATATACATGGAACAATTATCTGCCCCTCCCACCCAACCTGGCTGGCAGTCAGGAACTTACTTCCTTAAAACAGTTAGGTACTCTTGCTCCCCAGCCTTGTTGCCTTTCCCCAGTAACCTTTGCAACAGTGTAAACCATTTTTCTAAAACTTGCCTTCATCCACTGGTGAATGTAGCTAACAGAATTGGCTACAGAAATACTGGACTCAAATGATTCCCTAGAACAAGCAGGTCTTTCTTTTCTCCCAAAGAGCTGCCTTTTCCCAGTATCCTTTGCAACAATATGACCACCATTTTTTCTAGAATATTCCTTTTTGTAGCTTAAAGGATTGGCTACAAAATGGTCAGATTCCATTGACTGGATTTCCTAACAGCCAGGAAGCAAAAGGAACCTCACTTGCCTTACCATTGTCTCAACCCTGATATATATAATTTTGTATTTAAATATATTTGAGTTAAAAAAATAAAACATTCAAAATAAATAACTAAATAAATTTGTATTTTAAATATTTATATTTCTATATTTATATATAGACATATATTTATATATAAATACAGAAATATAGACATATTTATAGAGAGAGCAATATATACTTATTTATTTCTTTAATAAAGGGGAGTATCATTTCACAGACAATGGAGTTTTGCAGAATAAATATATCCGCTCCAGGCACTCTGGACTCTCAAGGCTTAATTCCCAGCCTGAAAAGATGGCTCTGACCTCTTGCTGAATGCCCCTTTCCTCATTTGTCTGCTTCCTCCTCCCCCCTCAAGTCAACATCTTGCCCTGCTCGAACTACCATCATCAGGCTGGAGCCCCTACAGCCAGTACTACCATCCCAACCCAGCCACCACGTGCCAAAAGCCCCATAAAGTACCATTTTCCTGGACCGGGAGTTAGTCACATTCCAAACCTGTTGGCCTCCAGCAGAGCCAGCAGCCTTTGATTCCAACCTCTGTCGCCGCTGAGAAGTACCCAGGGACTGGGATCCATGATCTATTATTTCTGGGAAGAAGAACAAAGGCCGTAAGAACACCCATAGAGGCTTTATCAAGGCTTCATGGGCACAGGACATACCAGAAAGAGGTTGGGTCCCCAGACTTCTTAGGAAACACTCAACACCCATTCACTGCTGTCCACTGGCCAAACCCAAGCCCCAGTTTGTTCATTTGTTCAAAAGATTAGCAAGTATTTACTGAGGGCCAAGCTCTTGCGGTAAGTTACTGAGGAGAGCTCAATGACCAAGAGACAAGATCACAGCAATCAAGACACTATCTGTATACAAGGGGAGTAAGGGAACAAAACAGAAAACAAGCCATCACTATAGATTCAAATCAAGAGACATATGTTTCCAAAATGATAAAAACAAGACAGAAGAAGGCATTGGAGGGTTAAGAGAAAATTAATCAGATGGATCTTGTATTAAGCCCTCTGAGTGTTTTTGCAATAGACTCAGTGGTGGCTTGGACAAAGAAGGGACCATACATGTTGAGTCTGCAAAATGTTCATATCAACCCATTTCCCCCCCAGCTCTCTGTCACTGAAGCCACGATACATGTATATGGACACCAAGGTACAGACAGTTGCACATACCCATTCATGCATTCAAAAACGCATACATGCATATAGATGAGTGTCTGCTAAGCCACACACATACTTTCTCCATCACACATGCACAGGTGCAGACAGCCAAGGGAAGGGACATTTCAGGGGATCCTCACCTGCTATCACCAGGTGTTCTTGACTTTTACCATGGCTTACAGAAACCAGGTCTTCATCCATGGACATTTCCATTTCCTCCTTGATGCCAAGGGGCCCTCCTGCCATAACAACCAGTTATTCACTTGTAAGCGATGACCAAGGATGCACGGGGAGCAAGGCAGAGAAGAAGCACTCAGAAAATGAGCGCTTTGAGGCATCAGAACTCTGGGAAATATATCCTGACGTGGGGGTGGAGCCAGATTCCCATTTATACTCAATCTTTGGACAAGCACCTTCTGTTCCTGCTGTATCTTGTTGGCTGGGTTTGTGGCCTTCTCCCCTGCTACTCTGTAAGCAACATAGAAGAGATAAGGCTCAGAACGTTTGCCTGTGAGAACTTCCCTGGCTCTCAGGTCACCTGATTTGACCCTATTGGAGTACATATGTTCATCTTCCACAACTTTGAGAGAGCGGCAAGGACTGGCACAGGACCCCAGAGTCAGTCAGTGGTCAGAGCAGGGTTAGATCTCAGGCCTGTTGTGGCTTCTGTAAGCCCAGCTCTGGTTAGAGGCATCCTCTGAAGGTATCCTCTGCAGAGTACATCCGGCCTCCCCCATTCCAGAGTTCCCAAGTGGGGGGGGGGAGATGGTCTTTGGATGTCCTGAAGTCAGCATGTGCAGGAACAGTGAGAACCAAAGGGGGGAAGAGCAGGAGAGGAGGACTTGCCTGTCAACACTATAGCCTCCAGGGTTCCCAAGCCCTTCACCCTCTGATCTAAATCTAAATGCTCTCTCAGCTTCCTTGCTGATTAGACCACTGTGAAGATGTGGACACTTGGCTAGCTTACAGTCCCCAGTTATTCCATCAAACCCTAGTCTAGGTATTGTTGTGCAGGTATTTTGTAGCTGTGGTTAATATTTACACAATTATTGGGCTTTAAGTAAAGAAGACAACTAACCCTCAATAATATGGGTAGGCCTCACCCAATCAGTTGGGAGGCCTTAAGAGCAAACACTGAGGTTACCTGGAGAAGAAATTCTGTCTCAAGACTGCAGCATCAACTCCCACTTAAGCCCGTTGGCCAGCCCTGAAAATTTGGGGCTTGTCAGCCCCACAATGGCATGAGCCAATTTAAGTAAATTTCTATATACATACACATACACGTGTACATATACATTCATTCATCTTACTTTTCTCTGAGGAGCCCTGGTTGATACGACCAACAAAGGTTCTATAGGTCAGCTCTTGGGAACACCCCAGAGCCTAGGGGAAGGGGAAGAAGAAGCTGTTTGTTTGTTTGTTTGTTTGTTGACAATGTTACAGATGACCCCCATTTTTCCTCCTTTCCCAAATCTACCCAGTCCCCACCCCACTCCAGGCCTTCATCACACTGCTGTCTGTGTCCATGGGCTATGCATTTATGTTTATAAGTTCTTTGGTTAATCTCGTCTTGTCCCCACACCCCTGTCAGCTCTTCTCCAGAGAGATTGGTTCCAGAGCTAGACAGGTGGGGCCAGGGAGGGGGACAGGCAGCCAAGATCACGCCACCCTCTCTAAGCAAGTCCTGGAGCAGAGCTGACATAGGCCCTGCCTGCATTCCTGAGGGCCCCTGAAGAAGCCCTTCCCAGCTCCAGCCGAGCAACTGCCATGAAATATGAGCTTTCTGGAGGGCACCTTAGGGGCAGAGAAGTGTACTCTGTGGGACTCAGGAGCTTGGGAAGCAGGAGCCATGGATTTCTGCCGGAGCAGGCTTGCTAGATTGAGGAAATAAAAATACAGGATGTCACCTGAATTTGAATTTCAAATAAACAACAAATATTTTTTTTTAGTGTAGAATGCTCCATGTAACATTTGGGACATACACTAAACTTATTCATGGTTTAGCTGGCATTCACATTTAACTGGGTATCCGTATTTTATCTGGCAACCCTATGCTCTGCCCATCCTCACCATGATCTCAGTATTTGAGCTTGAGCAAGTCTTTCCTTTCTTGGGGCCTCAGTCTCCGCATTAAATGATAAATAATCCTCTCCTGGCTGGTTTGAGAGAGCACTCAGGTCAACAGAGACAAATAGTGCAGACAGGCACAGGCAGGACTTTGCATTATTAACCTCAAATCAGATTACCCTCTGACTGCCAATTGCCTTGACCCATTGGGACTTCCTGGGCACTGGGGCACTAGGCCTACAGAGGCACTGCCCCCTAGTGGCAGAAGAACCCACCACCTAAAGCCAAGCAAAATGGGTAGGGAGACTTCCCTTCCAATCTCCCAATGAGACCCAGAAACTCTGGCACTTTACCTTGGGCACCAAGGATGATGGGGCAGTGGGAGACAAAATTTGCATGCTGTTTCTTTCTCACCCCTTCTTTGGCGGGGAAGATATGAGTTGGAGAAGAGCATGGACATAAGACGCAAACTGCCACAGGCAAGTTGCCCAGAGAGTGAAAGGATATGTGGCTTTGTTAAGGGCAGACAGAAGAAGGGGCTTGAATTTGTCCCTTAACATGTCTCTCTAGTATGCAAAACTTTTCCCTCCACCATAATTTTCTTCTGAAATTGTTCCAAACTCTCATTCTGAACACTCAGAAAAGCCCCCACTGTCTAGTATGTCAGCCTCGGGGGGCTGAAGGACTAGAGTATCTAGAGTTCAGAGATATTTGCCAAGTCCTATGGGGACAGGAGGATGGCCCATGGCCAAGTGTCAGTGATGGGCTGCAGAGACCTAGACCCCAGTAGAAGGCTCCCAGAGGATGGGGCCAGGGGACCCAAAGCTTTTCCCACCTCAGAGATTAGACAGATGCTTCTAGAAAAAGGAGGGTGGAATCTAGAGAATATCTGGCTTAGATGTGTGTGTGTGTGTGTGTGTGTACGTGTGTGTGTGTGTGCGCGCACGTAGTGTTTAACACAAATGAGATCATACATTTGAGATACTTGTTGTTCTGCAACTTTTTTAGGTGAATTGTGTCCTTTGGGGGATCTCCCATGTCAGAACAAATGTACCTCACATCTTTTAAACACAGCAAGCATTTTGCTGCACAGCTGCACTCCTGTTTATTGGCATGCTCATGGGCATTTAGGATATCTAGAGCTTTTCTTTTATAAACAATGTTGCAGTGAACATTACTGACCATGCCTCTGCACACATGGGTGCATGCTTTTGTAAAGCAGGTGCTAGAAGAGGTATTGTGGGGTCCTAGAATATGTGTTGACAATTTTGACCAATAGTGACTGATATTATCAATGTCCCCTCTAAAAGGCATCATTATGATGGAAGAAAAATGATAGCTATTGCATTGTTGCTTTAATTTATATTGCTTTAATTATGACGAAACCTGAGCAACTTTTCATGTTTATTGGTCTTCTCTGTTCCTTTCCTGTGAACTGTCTGCTGGAGGGCTTGGATCTTTATTAAAATAAGAGCACCTTTATTAACAGAAAGGGATGGGGGCAAAAGCTTTACCTCCCTTCAAGTTAAACATTCCCGAAGAAAACATATCATCATTTTCCCTAAAGGTGATTGTGAGCACAGAGCATCCACTGGGGACCAAACAAACACAGTTAATTGCATTCAAGTTTGTGCTGAAATCGAGAGGGTGTCCAGCCCCCACAGAACAAGTGTGCAACACAGGTAGGTGTTGCCTTCCTATCTGCCTATTGGCCCTTGTCTTGTGTCTGTCTCTCTGCCTGCCCCACCACATGCCTCCACCAGTGCCTTCCCACCATTGGCCTCTCCCAGCTGTTTAACCAATCATGTACTCTACTTAGATTCTCAAACAGCTTGAGGTCTGATGGCCTGTGTGCTACCTGTTCCTACCTCTCTTGCAAGCAGAAATGGCGGTTGGCAGAGACCCAGGCCCAGGGTCAGTACACCTGGGAGTGACCTCTAGATCTGACACCGGTCATCTTAGGAAAGTTGCTTCCTCTGCTCTGAGCCTCAGATCCCCATTTTCACATGCAAGATCGGGCTAAAATCCTGTTTCAAATTGTGTTTGTTGGTTCCAGGGAGGTGTGAAATCTTACCATTTGTGACAGCATGGATAGACCTAGAGGGTATTATGTTAAGTGAACTAAGTCAGTCAGAGAAAGACAAATACCATATGATTTCACTTACATGTGGAATCTAAAGAACAAAATTAATAAACAACAAAAAAGCACAAAAAAATGGAAACAGACTAATAATAGATACAGAGAACAGACTGATGGGTAACAGATAGGATGGGTGTTGGAGGACTGGGTGAAAAAAGTGAAGAGGTTCAGCAGTACAGATTGATAGTTACAGAAAAGTCACAGGGATGTAAAGTACAGAATAGGGAATATAGTCAGTAGTATTATAGTAACTATGTATAGCGCCAGGTGGATAGTGAAAATATCAGGGAAACACTTTGTAAAGTATAAGATTGTCTGACCAGTATGCTGTACTCCTGAAACTAATACATAATAATATTGAATGTAAATAAATAAATACATAAATAGATAAATAAATAAATAAATAAATAACAGGAAATAATTGTTACATGCAATACTATTAGACTGTAGCTCTATAAAACCCTTTGATTTGATTTGATCACACTTTAACTGCAGGTTATTGATAATTAAGAAAAGAAAGGGGAAAAACAGAAAGGAAAATTAAAGAGAAATAAAGATAAAATATAATTTCAAATGCCAAAGGGCACAATTGTCTGCTGCCTTCTCTGCTTGGAGCCCCATCGCAGGCAACTACAATTCCAAACCCAAGCAAGTAAGCAAGCAAGCAAGCAAGCCGGATTTGGGCTGCAAACCCAGATTTCCTAGGCATCTGAGAGCTTCCTCTCCACCTGATAATAAAACTTATGAACCTGTAAACAATTTTTCTTCCTGCTCCTGGAAGCAGCTGGTACTGAGGTCATCCCTGGAGCCCCAGACCCTCCCCCATCCAGAAGGGAAGAGGAAGTGGAAGGGAAAAGGGAAGGGGGACTAGCAGAGCCTTGCAGCTGTCTTTCTTTTTCTTAAAGAGACAGGAAGGACAGAAGAGCAAACTGCAGGGACTGAACTGGCCCAGGGAAGGAGGGTCACCTCATAAGAAGAGAGGAATAAGTGGCAGGACCACCTAGGGTAGCCCTTGGGACCCAGCCCCCATAGGGACAAG